TTTATAGAAGTCAGAGTAAATGAGCACACTCACATATACTCTTTTTTTTTTCCAAGGAAAAAAAACTTTCCTTTTTCACTATGCCCACAGAGCCAGAAAGGAGCAAAAAGTGCAAAACATGGGGGGGTGTTAAGTTCTATACAATCTTTACCTTGGGCAGAATCCCCCCAGAAAAACCAGCACAGGGTTTTTTGTAAGTACTGGACAGTGAATTCTTGAGTGATCCTCGAGAGGAACCACTTGACTCTTTTGCTTGTCCCACTGGTTTAACTTGTGTGTCCTGGAAGATGAATTGAAGAGTTAAACCCAAGAACAGCCACTGGTGCTCATCATTTGGAGCCTATCATCATGGAATATCTCCATGCAGCAATTCCTGGTTTCTTTATCAATGATATCCAAATCTACTGATGCTTTTTGTAGACCAGAAGTAATACCAAATTGAGAAAATCCTCTTTTTTGACTTAATTTTCTAAAGACATCTCTAGCACAGTGTCTCAGGGGTGATTTGACTTATGGTCCTTGAGTGTGTCAGGGAATGCACAGACAGGACTTGCAGGGGGAAGCTTGAGGGCAGCATTCAGAAGTTCAAATTGGAGCTTTCCTGGCTTTAGAGGGGGTGAAATGGGGCTTGGACTTTGAAACTCATGAAGAATAGCTCTGCCTCTTAATGCTGAGAGACATAATCTGCTTATGACACGAGGGCTGGCTTGTTTCTGTTCTTACACCCAACCCAAAGAGCTGTTGGCAGCCTGCCCCTTTGGAATCAGCAAAGTTTGGGGTGTTCTCCTCTGCCCAAGGTTCCATTGGCTCAGCTGGCAGGGTGAGACCCAGCCTGGCCTGCTGGAGGAGGAGGAGGAGGAGGGCATTTCGTGGTGACTGTAGTTGGCCAAGAAGGTCTGTGGTCTCCTGGGGTGCATTCAGAAGTGTGGAGGTTCTCCTGACCCTCTGCTATGCCCTAGTGAGACCACATCTGGAGGGTTGGGTCCAATTCTGGGCTCCCCAATTGGAGAGAGACAAGTGACTGCTGGAGAGAGTCCAGTGGAGGTGCTGAGGAGTGTCTGTGACAAGAAAAGGCTGAGAGCCCTGGGGCTGGTGAGCTGGAGAAGACCCAGAGGGGTTAGCTAAAGGGTGAGGGACATTAGGGTGGGGCCAGACTCTTCTCAGTGGTGCCCAGTGACAGGACAAGGGACAACGGGCACAAATTGGAACCCAGGAGGTTCCACCTGAACTGCAGGAGAGAATTTCCACATTTCCCTTCCAGAGCTTCAGCTTTTCAGCAGGGCAATGAGCTGCCAGAGCTCCTGGGGAGTGGAGGAGTTGCATGTGGAAGCCTGGGAGGGTGAGCTGGCTGGGAGCAGTGACACCCTTGATTAACGCTGATTAATTAGCATCCGAGAGGATTGCTGGGTCCTGTCTCTCAGCTTCTAATGACTTTGATTTGGGCTTTGAAACTCCTAGTGTGCTGTTAGCTGACAACAGCCCTTTGTGGGGCAGGGGAAGAGGAACCCTCAGCCAGAGGAACCGTGAATCCACTTTTCTGTTACCACCATCACTCCTTCCAGCTTGGCTTTGCCAGCAGCTGCAAAATGCCTTTTCCTCCCTGAATGCAGAATTGGTTATTTATACACCAACCTTGGAGCATTTATTTGGTGTACCTGACCTAGAAAAAAAAAGATTAGTCCAGAGCTATCCTACCAGATGTGAGCGTCACTCAACGGATGATCTCCGTATCATTTCTAAGCTATTAAATTACAAAATAATGACTCTTTTCAGTGAGCCCTTTGGCACGGGATGCTAGGATTGCATTTTTTTGGGTGAGGCTATCGACCGCAGCTCCTGCCCCCTAAAACTGCAAACAGAAATTTGTCAGCATTGGCTCTAGTTTGGCTTGGAAAAAAAAAGACACCCCTTATGCTCAGGTTACAGTCCAGCTAGGCACATACAGCCTGGAGGTTGTCCAGTTGCACACAGTTCTTCCCCTCCCCTCTTTTAACATCTCCTTAAGAAGCCTAGACGGTGGTTTTTAGGTTAGATATTTTTTCTTTCCCTTAGATTGAACTAGAAGAAGGGCTGAGGAGCCCAGAGCAGAAGCTCTTCCAGGCTTCTTGCAAACAAGACGTTCCTCTGCTGCCAGGTTCTGCTCTCGTTCACCCCAAAAGGGTGTGAGCAGCTCCCCGACCCCACGTCGCTCAGGAATCTCTGCTTCTTGTCTGCTAGAGGGGAAGGAGCAGCTTGAAAATAAGATTGACAAGCTGGCAGCCTTAGGTTGCCCATGGAGAGCAAGCTGGCGTGTCAACAAGTCCCTCCTCAATTTGTGAAACAAATCATGAGAACTTTGGCCTCAGAGAAGAGCACTTATGTAGCATATATTTGTCTTGCAGCTAGGAGAACACTTTTAAATGCACCTTTAGCTTTTAAATGAATCCTTCCCACTCTCTTTCCTTCTCTCTTCTATCCCTGAACTGGAGCACAGGCTGCCCAGGGAGGTGCTGGAGTCTCCAGCCCTGGAGGGCTTCAAAACCCATCTAGATGTGACACTTGGGGCGATGGTTTAATGGTCATGGGAGTGTTGGGTGATGCTTGGACTTGATCTTAGAGGAATTTTCCAACCTTAATGATTCTTCAAACACACTCATTGCTGCCATTTGAGGTGAACTTTCCCCAGCTGCTGAGAAATGGACCTGAACTGTGCCCTCATCCCACCACATCCACCTCATCCCTGAATGATCCGTCCTTGTTTGCACATTTTATTTCAAAGCTGTGTAGTCTGAGGGTTTAATAAACAGCAGAAATCTCCCCAGCAAAAATCTTCCAGCAACTACAGCTGGAACTTAAAGGTGAGAGGTGAGTTTGGCTGCTCTCATACTCTACATATAATGATTTGATCATACCCTTCTTTGCAATAAGAGCCCAGAGCTCTAGATGAGTTATAATCATTTTAGGGCTAAAACAAGTGATCTCTGAGGTCTGTCTTATCCTTGGTAAGCAACAGACTCTTTTATTCAAAGCAAATTCAGAGCTAACTAAATATTCCCTTCAAAGTATGATTATTTTTCACAGCTGAATTCTTTTCCCTCTTCAAAAACCTCTGGTTGACTTAAGTAGTGATCACATTTAATCTGTAGCTCTCAGTATCTCAGGAGGCTTGATCTGAGACTTAAGATAAATAGTTGAGTGGAAAACATCTGTTCAATTAATATTTTTGTCTGACTTTTTTTGGCAGCATAGTCCCAGCAGTAGCTTTTATGCTGTCCTGTGAAAAATGCAATTGCTGATCTAACAAGTCCTAACTTCATCCTTTTTTTTTTTTCAAGTTAAATTGTTTTTCTCATTTGGGTTTTATGCTGAAGAACGAATCAGCCTGTTAAGGTCAGTACAGCTTCAAAGGTGAAACAGTGGCTGGAGAAATGAATCATCTAGTGAAATCATGGACTCACGGAGTCATTTGGGTTGGAAGAGACCTTTAAAATCAAGGTCGTCCATTAACCCAGCACTTCCAGGTCACCACCAACTCATGTCCCTCAGCACCACATCTCCACAGCTTTGGAACCCCTCCAGGGATGGGGACTCCACCACTGCCTCAGGCAGCTTGGGCCAGGCCTGGACAACCCTCCAGGGAAAGATATTTTTCCTTATGTCCAACCTCAGCCTCCCCTGGTGCAACTCGAGGCAGCTTCCTCTCATCCTGTTGTTTGTTCCTTGGGAGAAGAGCCCAATCCCCACCTGGCTCCAACCTGTGGAGAGCCAGAAGGTCTCCCCTGAGCCTCCTTTGCTCCAGGCTCAGCACCCCCAGCTCCCTCAGCTGCTCCTCCCCACACTTGGCCTCTAGACCCTTCCCCAGCTTCGTTGCCCTTTTCTGGCCACACTCCAGCCCCTCAAAGTCCTTCTGGGAGTGAGGGGCAACCTCCCTGTTGCCAAGTCCAAGGGGACAATCCCTTTCCTGCTCCTGCTGGCCACACTAGTGTTGACAAGCCAGGATGCTCTTGGCATTTTTGGCCATGGGCTGGCCCATCTTCATCCAGCTCTTAACCAACACCCCAAGGTTCTTTTCCACCAGACACTTTGCAGCCTCTTCCCCAAGCCTGGAGCACTGGGGGGTGGTGGTGACACACAGGAGACCCAGCAATGACATACAGAGAGTTTATCTCCATATATTTCTACCTCTGTCTATAAAAGGATGTGCAGGATATGTAATTATTTGAAAAACAGGAGAACATTGAAACCAGCTACGAAAAGAGTGTGGCTAATTTGTTTTGCTTAATCTGTACAGAGAGTTTATCTCCATATATTTCTACCTCTGTCTATAAAAGGATGTGCAGGATATGTAATTAATTGAAAAGCAGGAGAACATTGTTGTAAACAGCTAAGAAAAGAGTGTGGCTAATTTGTTTTTCTTAATCTGATGAAATTTCTTACTTCAAAACTCTGTTACTCATTTTTCTTTTCTTAGTTTTCTCACCTATCACCAAGCAACTCATTTGCCTGATTTCAAAACAAGGATTTACACTTCACACTCTTGCAGGGAAATGAGGAAAAGCCCAAAGCTTTTATTACTCCTTTTTAAGCAAACATACATACTGTGTGGAGTTATTGAGTTAACATAGGATGAGGCATCTCCAGAAGGCATGAAATATTGGCAGGTATCTCTAAGAAAATGAAATTTTCTGTTTCCTCACTGGTCCCGTGGCAGCTGCTGGGGGAAAATGGTGCCAAATGTTGGCATATTCTGGTTGGAGAGGTTGTTCTGCTCCCTCCTTAGCTGGCACGTGTGTTGCTACCTGTCATCTCCAAAGGGAGATCATTGGGATTCTTATTTCATGTTCACACGTCGCATCCGATGGGACCATCCCAGTGTAAGGATTTGTCTCCCTGTGTCGTTATCCCCCAGCAACTTTTCTTCATCAACACCACGTGTGAACCCCTCCCTAGGTATTTAGAGCAACCTCTTCACATGTGTTGTTCCAAACCCAACAGAGGTAACTCCATGTGTAAACATCTCCCTAGAAATGTGATTCTGACGTGGGGTCTCCTCCATTCGTGATAGCCTGGTCACTTGTTTCCTCCTGTGGTGCTGGAAGGGCTGTTTTTGTTAGAGGGGTCTCAGTCTTGAAAAAAGAATCCATTTTTATCTGAGTTTTGATGTTGAAAGACTTCTGGAAGGATTCTGAGGTGAAGTAGTAGATAAAGGGGTCGAAGCAGCAGTTCATGGTGGCGATGCACAACGTGATGGGGTACATGGTCCTGGCAAACCTCTCCAAGGAGCAGTTGGCTATGGCCTGAGACCTCACCAGGGCGTAGAGGAAGAGGATGGAGTTGTAAGGCACGAAGCACACGACGAAAATGGCCACGTGCACGATGATCATCTTCAACACTTTCTCTTTGTTCGTCCCAATCTGAGACAAGGTGGCGGGCTTCCGGAGAGTCCTGAGCACTAGAGAAGAGCAGGTAAGGTTGAGGAGCAAAGGGATTATGAATCCTACCACTTCAATAAATATCGTGATCTTAGACAGGTAGGTTTTCCAGATGCGTTTGGAAAAACCCTCAAAACAGGTCGTGCTGGTGTTGGAAACGTTGGTCGTGGAGAACAAGGAAGCTGAAATTCCCCCACTGAGGACCAGGATCCAAACACCAGCGCAGACGACGGCGGAGTTCCTCCTGGTCCTGATGGTGCGAGAGCGGAAGGGGTAGACGATGGCGAGGAAGCGGTCGACGCTGATGCAGGTGAGGAAGAGCATGCTCCCGTAGATGTTGGTGAGGAAGGCCGTGCCCGAAATCTTGCACAGGCTGTCTCCGAAAGGCCAATGCCTGTTGAAGTTGTAAAAGATTTTAAAAGGCAAAGTGAAGACGAAGAGCAAGTCGGAAACGGCCAGGTTGGTCATGAAGATGGCGGTCTCGCTCCTCATCCTCATCCGGAAGCAGAAGACAAAGAGGGAGGCACAGTTTGTAATCAAACCCAGGATGAAGACCACGCTGTACACGGCTCCGTACAGGTTGTACTTGAAGGAATCATCTATCAAACAGGTATGATTGTTGCTGTGGTTTCCCATGCCAAGTCTATGATGCGCTTCCACGCGGCTTCAAAGTCTACTTGAGTGCCATCCATCAAATAAAGGGGCCATCTCTTCTCCTCCTGAAGAAACACATGCCAGGGAGGTCTCTTGATGCTTTGCTACCACGTCTCCATCACGGATCCTTCCATCCTAAAGGAGAGAGAAACAGATCCCATCAGTCTCCCAACCTGCTGTCACCTCGAGTGCCTGTGCAAGGCAATGCCTGCTCTTTGCTTTCCAAACCAATGGCTGTGCAAATTAGGCCAGTAATTAGTTCTCAAGGTAGTTATGAATTCTCTTATTGGGATTTTGGTTGAACAGAGCAGTTAGTGTTTGGCCTTTCCTCCCCCCATTGCCCCCCTCATCCTCCCATTGGAAGCAGAGCCATCCTTCATTCCAATTTTCCTCTTGGAAAGGTTTCCCTTGAAAACTTGAGATGGAACCGGCCCAATGTGTTTGGAAAGAAACTAAATCATGGACCCACAATGTTGCCCAGATAGAGAATCAGCCTGAAAAGTTCACCTAGACTTGTAACAAGAGGGGAGAGGAGCTGAAAAGCTTTAGTGTGTGCTTTTAGCTACACCCTTGTAAGACTTTGTCCCAGTTCCACAAGCTTTAGAGATGTGGAGAGTTGAAGTGAGCGTGCTGGTTGATGGGAGGGGAAAAGTGCTTTATGAACTGTCTTGATGTTCTCTTCTTGCTATTCTAGTGCTTGTTTTTCAGGCCTGTAAGGATAAGGAGTTGGAAGGTCTCCCTTGTTGGAGCAAGGAGGGTTTGTGAGTTGGAACGTGTAGTTGGGACGCTGGGGAAGTGTGGAGCAAGGCTGGATAACTAAGGGAAGGATCTTTGTTATAAAATACAGCAAGCCAAACATGAAACAAAGTTTGTAATCTTCTTGTCATCTAAGAAACATCTTAGTAGCTACAACAGTGGAGTAGTTTGGAGATGAAACCCTTGTGAAGAGTAGGAGCCTTTCCAGAAAGCCACCCTCTGACAGCGTAGCTTCAACAGCAAACGTGGAGTTGAGGTTAAAAGTTGAAATGGCAACACATAAACAAACAAACTGGGGAGGGAAGCATGAAATCAGGACAATTTGGGACCCAAATGGATGAAAATCAAATGTTTTCCATATGTTTTCCTACTGGAAGAGCTCAGGCTGACAGTTGTTCTTGCACGCAGGCTGTCGGTGAGCTGGTAACATGTCAAGTGAGGAGAAAGATGTAACGGCCACGGCTTTGCCAGGTGGAAGGTGCAAGTTCTGCCCTCAGCTGGGGGCACCTGGGCAGCTGTAGGCTTCACAAAAACCACTGCCTTCAACTGCCAGAATCCTCTTTGTGGGGCCAACTCGTTTCACCTGTCAGGGGCTGAGACCCAGCCAGCTCGTGACACGTGTGGCTGAGAGCAGGCCAGCTTGTGACATAGGTGTGAGTGGCTGAGACCCAGCAAGGCTGACATGGGAGTGACTGAAGCCTGGCCAGATCATGACATGTGTGATGGGCTGAGGCCCAACGAGCTCGTGACTCAGTATCAGGGGCTGAGTCCCAAGTAGCTCACGACACATGTAAGGAATTGAGACCTGGCCAATATAATCCAGCCTGACAGTTTCTTTCCTGGACACGTGGAGCCCTTTTTATCTGTAGATAGCTTCACTTTGCCACCACCCCTTGTCCTGTTGCAACCAGCCTTGCTGAAAAGTCCATCCCCAGCTTTCTGACTGGCCCCTTGAAGGCTGCAAGAAGGTCTCCCAGGAGCCTTCTCCTCTCCAGGCTGAACAAACCCAACTCTCTTGAGCTGGCCTCCCAGCAGAGGGGTTCCACCACCATCAGAGGGGCAGGATCCCCTTTGTTTTAGCTGCATTTTGAGTTAGACCTGTGTGGTGACATCCTGCCTTAGCAAATCTTCAGACCACAACTAGATAGGACCTTTATCTGATGTTGGTTGTCTGGCAGTGACAAGAGGAGCCCAGCCCCACACTGGGGCTTTCTCTGCCACGCTTCCTTGGAGGAACCCTACAGGTCTTTGGGGATAGAGCAGGGAATGGGCTGTGTAGGGGAGCAACATGTTCCTTGCACCCCTTTCTGCTTTTGGGCTCACCTCTGTCGTTCTCCTACTAAATTCATGATCTCTGCCACGCTTCCTTGGAGGAACCCTACAGGTCTTTGGGGATAGAGCAGGGAATGGGCTGTGTAGGGGAGCAACATGTTCCTTGCACCCCTTTCTGCTTTTGGGCTCACCTCTGTCGTTCTCCTACTAAATTTAAAAATATAAAGATACCAAATGCTTTAAACTTACACAAAGACTAGAAGCAAAACCTCCGAGTCCATTGAGTCCTTTGAGTAGGTGTTGAGCTAAAGGTCTCAGCTATAGATTGAAACACTTTTAAAGAAGAACTTGGGTTCAAAAGCACATGAGCTCCACCAGGAATAGCTCTGCCTCTTGGCTTAGCCCTCAGCCCAACGCATGAAATCCTTGGCTGGGAATTCCCTTTCAGTAAAGAAGGAGATTGTGTGTTGTCTCCATCAGGAGCAATTTTTGTTTCTCCTGAAATGGACTCTCCATAAGCAGATCCTTTCCCTCTGCAGTGTGGAAAATCCAGGTGTGCCAGAGACTCTCTTGGTTCAGGCTTCACATCTTGCTCCAATCTAGGGAGGTTTGAGAGGGATTGGGTGTCCTCTGACACCTTCCCCAGCCACGTGCCTGGGAGATGGATGGAAACAACCCCGTGTTCCAACCTGGGCTCACAGCTCAGGATTTTGGCTGTGCCCCAAAACGCTGCCTGGGGCAGCAGGTTTGAAAGGCAGCTTTGAAATGTTCCCCTTGGTCGTTGCCAGCAGCCTGTCCCAGACCCTTGTTACACAGGAGGAAGGATGCTCCATCCCTTGATTCCTTTTTCCCTGCTCTGCATCAACCAGCCACAAGGTCAAATATCAATTTTTTTTTCTTTCCTGGTGTATAAATCTCTGGGAATTGTCTGCCAGGAATTGTCTAGTGAAGTGATGGCCTTTAAAATACAGGCTGGTGGTGTTTACCTATCTAACAGCAAAGTGTTTAAGCAAGCTGCCAAGTTGCTTTAAAACTCAGCTGTGTGCTTTGAATTCTGCAGCAGGAGTCTGCAGAGGTAGATTTCAGGATCCAAATTCCCCTTTCCTGCCCCTCAGCTGAGGGTGAAAGCAGCAGGATGCTCTTCACGTACCCCACGTTCACCACTGCTGTGGCCATGCTGGGAAAAACCACCCAGCAATGCACTTTAAAATGCTGAATTATTGAATATACTAATTCAGAAGAATAATAATTACTCATCTGTATGTCAGGCAGGCTGGAATTTTACATCCTGTATCTAAAAATGTGGGGGCAATGCACCCAGCTGTAAAGGAAAACCTCTGTGAGTTGCTTCCTATGGCACAGCAGCATCCTGCTCACAATCCTTTTATTTCCCCCTCCTGGCACCCCAAAGAAACCTTCACAAACAGCCAGTTTGCAGCTTAATTCAGCCCCACTGCTCGTTAGGACAGAGAATTACTGCAAGTAAAAAGCAGGCTTTAAAATCAGATTCTGTAATTATTCCATTAAGATTCTGTAATTATTCCATTGTTTTTTGTTTCATGCACATCCCGTTCTCCACAAATCCATCAAATTGAGGCCAGAAAAAAACCTGTAAAGCTTAGGGCTGATGTTTTTGTCTCTTTTTTCCCTCATGCAAGATGTAACTTTATCAATCTGAATATGTGGGACATCCTGTGTGTGCTCGTTGAAGTCACACAACACTGCAAAGCCTTTTCTTCTGAGATCTGATACAGACCAAGCCTGAAAACCCTTTCAAATCTGAAGGCTTTTTTTCTAGCTGATCACTGCGTGTACTCAGGTCACCTCTAAATCCTGTGAGGCAAAGGTTTTATAGTACAGAAACCCAAATCTGATGGATCTAAAGGTGTGGGGGGGGTTTCTCTAGGTTAGGGCAGCACTTGTTGTGTTTTGCTATGGTCTCAGACCCTGCCCTTGGAAATAAATAAGTATTTTCCTTGGGCACAGCACGGGCTTTATGCCTCCTCTTGACAAGCACGACATTCATTAGAGGGTTTTTTTGGCTACCCAGTTGGTGTGATGCTCACGTGAGCTGACTCAGTCCCAGCACTGAGCCCCAAGTAACCACAAACTCCACCATTTCTTCAGTTTCTAGGGGTTTATTTCCCTCCTTCAGTCCACTTTCATTAAGCAGAAGGCTCCAAAAAGGTTTTCTCGAGTTGTGGGGGTGGGGGTTGTGGGGGTTTTTTGAACATTTTTGCATAGATAATTCTACATAAGACTATAGGACTTAATTCTTCCAGGCTGAGTATGATAGGTGAGAGATACAGCAGCTGTTTGAGTATGGACTTAGGGAGATAAGGAACTTTTTCTACCTGGATTAGAAACGTTTCTGACCATCCTATGGCAGTAACACCAAGGAACATTTCATTTCTAAAGGCTTAAAAAATATTCACCTGCAAACCACGAAATGTGAATTCAAAGAAAGCAAAGCAGTGACAGAAAAGGCCCCAGAACCACTTCCCTGCTGAGCTCCCCCCCAGCTCTGCCACTCTTGGGACACCTCAGTGCCTGCAGCAGGATCTCCACTTGATTCATAACTTTCTTCTTTTCACTAAAAGTTTCACTGTTTGTTTTTGGTTGCTAAGAACTGTCAGAGCCATAACCCAGAGCAGTTCTAAGAACAAACCACCAGTTTGGGGGAATTTGGGTGCTGCCTTTTCCCCTTTTTGAGGCTGACAGGGTGGTGACTGTGCTGCACAGTGATGCTGGCTCCTTTTTTTTTCCCAGGAAAGCTCTCCCAGCATCAGGGAAAGGGATGGGAGAGGGCTTGAGAACTTTGGGGTTGGGTTTTAAACCAACCAGCTTGCTGCGAGCTCTCCATCCTCCCCAGAGCTTCTTGCACTTTCCTTCACCTCCATTTCTTCCCTGGTGTTTTAGGAGAAGGAGAAAAGGGGGGGATTGAACAATGGGAAGTGAATCAGCTGCCTGTAAACAAAGCACTGTGAGCTAGAGGAAGGGATGGAAAGGAGAAATGCTTTTATCTCTTTCATTTACTAATCCAAAGGGATGGATTTGGGAGCAGGAGGGAAGGAGCAGACTTTGAAGTCCAGCAAAGGTTC